AAAAAAAGTGAATTTGCCATAACTGGTACTTTATTCTCGAAAACAAGCAACTATTTAATTTCTGTGGTGTTTCTACGATGGGTGAAAATACCCAATATATTATATGCATTCCACGCCCCCAAAATAAATAAATAAAAAAATGTGATGGAATGGTGTCACCGTAAAGTGAAACGGGATGAAACAGGGGAAAATGTCGTTCATTTTTTGGCTGGTTTGTCCTGCAGACGTGATGATATTCGCTTCTCGCAATCTAAAACAGTCATGAGTGTAATTATGTTATTATGCGATTGCACAAATGTGAAATGATGCAATGTTTTCCTCCCATTAAGAAGCCACCTCGCTCAGTCCACACTATTTGATAATAGCCTGGTCTCTGTTGGCTTTCGGTTTCATTTCATGCATGAACATGGCCGGCTCAAGGGAATGATTTTTAATGGGTTCGAGTTCCCTCACCTTTATTTCCCTCATTGTGGTGCTATGCCGACCGTAAACAAGCTCGAGTGTAATGGCCGGATTAGCACGACACGTCATTAATATTCATCGTGGCAGACCTCGGGTGCAAAAGGGGCAGCCGCACACAACCAAAGAGCAGAGTGTTAATTTGCAATAATAATTAGTGGGGGCCAAAAAGCGGTGCACTTGAATGACGGTTAAATGGTGTAATTATGGTGGACGTCACCGCTCATCATATCATAAACGGCATAAAACACAATGGAAGATCATAAAAAACAGGCCAGTGTGGCGGACTGTGTTTTAATACCGTCCCATTATGTGTTATATTTAAGACAGAGCCGTGATTAAATTGTAAAATCCCTGTTTATACTCCATCAACTTTTCTCCTTCAATTTTACGTCCGTGGGTATGGCATTCCACAAATTCTGCCTAGCAATTGGCACAATCTGATGAATGCACCACATGCTATAAGTAATAATCCATTTACTCCAGCATTTGTTGTAAAATGGATTATGGCTGAGCTGGAACCTATCCCAGCTAACTTTCGGCGAGTTGCGGGGTACACCCTGGACTGCTTGCCAGCTAATGAATGTGCACACTCTTCACATTTGCGTCCACCCCTATGGCCCATTTTGAAACTTTACTGAACCTCAAATGCAAAGTCCTCACAGGAAGCCTGGAGCCGTGATTCAAACCTGGAACCTTAAAACTGTGAGGCCAACATCCTTCCCGTCATTCCACTGTGTTGTTGATCAATGACATTGACAAATTCGACCCAGCAGATGCTAGCGTAAATATCCTGTAGCCGGAGAAGCTTGCCAGAAAACATTTGACCTTGAGTAATCGGGTACGAATTTCTGAAACACGACACAATGGCATGAAAAAAGGAAATGAAACGACAATAAGCCCCACTGAAAGTACTCACCAGTCACACGCATTATGACATCACCTTAAATTGTTTTATGTTCAACGGTTGTATGCCACTTTTACGTTTTTACATGACACTGACCTGTGACCTCCAGCGGGACAGTGTCTCGCTCATCGTTAATGCCCATCACAACTTCACAGCGGTACAGGCCGGAGTCACTGGATCGCAAGCCTGTCAGAGCCAGACTGGCATTGTATCGGTTATCGCTGTAACCAGGCAGCGATACCCGACCTTGAAAAGCCTTTTTCACCTGGTCGAGGAGAGAGAATATGGATGAATCAAATCTCAAGACACCGATTGGATCTTCTGTGTTAAGCATACCTTGACTACATTGTCTTTGGCCACCAGGATCGACTGCTCTTTCCGCGAGCCGTCCGAGCCTTGCTGACCCCACACCTTGGACCATTTGACGCGGGGAGGCTCGTGGGACGCAATGGCGCCAGGGCGCAGGGAGAAGAGGCAGGGGAGCACCACCGTCTTGGACATCTCCTCGCTGATGCTGTGATGAGTCACTTTATGCATGCTCACCACAGGGTCGGCATCACTTAAGCCTGAGTAGGAGAAGACAGATACCCTGCATTTACTCAACTACAAAATGGATGGCATCTATTAGAAGGGGGGCCCGCGTTTGCTCTGAATAAACTACATGAAAGGGGGCCACTTGTTGTGCTACCCCTTAAGAAACAAAAATATATTGCAATTATTGGAAGATATCATGGAATACATGAAGTAATATATAGTCATATATGGGATTTTGTATTTATATTTTCTAACATACTTCAATATATGCATAGACCAAACTCAAAATTTCGAGTTATTGCAACTCAAAATTTCAAGCTACCTAAACTCAAAATTTCGAGTTATTGCAACTCAAACTTTCGAGTTACTGCAACTCAAAATTATGAGTTACCTAAAGTCAGAATTTTGAGTTACTGCAACACAATATTTCGAGTTGCCTGAACTCAAAAATACGCGTTACCCAAACTCAACATTTCGAGTTACTGCAACTAAAAATTCTTTCTGTAATTGACATGCCACAAAAGGTTGGTTTGACGTGAAAAAACATGACATTGTCTCTATTTTCCGACAACCATTCCTCCTCAAACCTCCAACCACAAAATCACTTTTCAAATCAACACGGCACTTGTGAAGCGTCAAAGAGGATTTGTGTTCAGAGGGACTGCTTGTTCTTTAACAAGACAGTCATCTTTGAGGCTCACTGGAAGGAAGAAAGGGAAATAATACACTCATTAACTTCCATTGTTATTTTCATAAAGTCAACTATTATACTGTATTGGATCTCAGAAATATATACTTTGGACTGAGAATGCCGACAGCCTACATTTTCGACCATCCTACCGATTCTACATGCTGTACCTTTCCGACATCCATGCTAACAAGTTGATTTAAAGAGCACTTTTAACATTCAACACATCGCACACTGAACCTAAGTGCTTTGCATAATACATTAGCTCAAAAAAATAAATCAGTTAAAGATGGGCATCTGAAATAACACCAAGTTTACATGGATGGGGTTCATCATATCAGGTAAAGGGACCAAGGTTGCAAGGATGGAATGTTTGGACTTTGAAGGGCCAAAGACAGTACCTTCAAATAAAGGAAAAAAAAAAAAAAAAAAAAAGAACGGTATCTCGAATGGACCCCTGCGGGACCCCATAAGAGATGAAGCGTACTGGCCTATATTGAACCTAACGTTTTTTTTTACCTAAATACTTACAGTGAAAAAAGATGTCCTTAGAATTTTGTTTGTACATGCTTAAAATGTGTTCAATTAACATATTATTCTATTAATTTTGAGAATAATGGAGAATTACATCAGCCGTGCACAGACGATAAGTACTTTTCTTTCCCTTGGTGTGCCTACCTGGCTTTCCTACTTTTTCTCCCTTCCTTCCTCTCCACCTAGCCACCAACCATAATGAGAACAAACCGAAATGTTGAGGAAAAAAAAAACTTTCAGAGAGGATGATGGAAAAAGGCGAGAATAGCTCTTGTGAAATGGCAGACGGTGTGGTAAGAGTGACTTTGCGGCAAATTACTGTGCATGCACGCACATGCGCACGCGCGCGCGCGCACACACACACACACACACACACACACACACACACACACACACACACACACACACACACACACACACACACACACACACACAGAAAGCACATCTTTAGGAGTCTATAACGCCCTGGCTGCTGTCTCTCTATTTGCTTCGAGCCCCTTGAGGATGAGGCACTGATCTTTGTTTACCACACACTAACATTTGTACCCCCTTCCTCTTAAACACAGCCATCGACAAACGCGCAATAAAGAGCCGTCCTGGAAGATGGCAGATTTGGAGCCAACTCAGGAAACAAAGACAGGTGTATTCCTTTTCCAGCTGAGCTGCATCAATAACCTTTAATTCCTCTGCCAGATTCTTGTCAGCTCTTACCTTATACTCACATAACTAACTTTGCGGGGAGCCAAACAAACTTTACAATGTCACTCACATTCCACTTGTGCGCGCCATACGGATGTTTATCTCCAGCCTGGCAAGCTGTGAGCTGCACAGCCAAAATCCAATGAAATTAATTTGCAAATTCCCTCCAGAAATCAGTAAATTACATGGTGGGTGAGGAGAAAACAAAAAAACGCGGCGCTCTTCCTCAGCAGTGATTAACATAAACTAGCGGGGGTGCGTATTGCTAGTGTTATAAATCTGCATTTAGATGGAAAAGTTATCACGAGCCATAATGCCTCAAGAGACCGGCGTGTTGTCTCAGTGACAAAAGCAAGAAAAGGGCATAATTAAGAAAAAAATTAATCTGTGTTACATTTTAAATGTTAACGGAAGCTCTTTTGCGACCCTTCAAATGCACCAGGATCGGCACGGTCGACATGTGACTCAGCTGCTCTTCGTGTGGCGTGGCCGCATTCTTCGGCGAGTCATCACCGGTGGACCCATCTGTCTCGGTGTTGGTAGTCTTTGGAATTATTAAGCGACGCGTAGGAGCCCTTACGTGTCTTGCGCAGACGCAAGGTCCAAATGGCATTTTAACAGCCGCGGGAGCGCAATTACACCCAATGTCTTGTTTTTCCCATCTGTGATTTTCACCCCAGAACAGCCAACTGCATCCTCTCCTTCTGTTTCAGATCTACACCAGGCCCGAAACTGTTTACATGTCATTAAATTGTGGAAATTTTTAGCTGCCTCGATGCTATTGGTGAATTGTCAGGAAATGACAGCCAATATGTCAAAAACAAATGTGAATCTCAGACCCATTATGTGGCTCTTAATTGGAGTTCTAATTTATTGGGTGCTTGAACTCACCATATCCATTATAATATAATATAATATAATATTAATAGACTGATTGGCATTCATTCATTAATAGGTTAATTATATAGGATGTTGTTGGGGGTAGGTTTCTTTTATGGAATTTCAGAAGTCTTTTGTCACAGGAATTTTGGGGGATTTCTACAAAAAAAAAAAAAGATTTGATATTATGCTACTATGTCTCTAGTTGGCTGCCGTCTGCAAAGTACGAGATGCAAGTGAAAATTGTACTTTGTCAAAAAAAATGTATATATAATAATCATAATAATGCAATGTAAATCAAATTTAAAGACTTCAACAGTTTTTGCCACACTTTTTGCTGCAGTTAAAAGGACATTGTGCTGCTCCTTCGGCTATATTATAAGTATGTGGAAATGGTCTCAGCTCCTCAGTAAGATGCAATAATATTTATCTGTCTCTTGCAGAGGGTAAAGAATATACTGTAAGGCTGTGAGTATTACTATCGTCTGTGTTGCTGCACCGTTAGTGTTCAAATATCTACCGATTAATGGGTTATAACGACACAACACCATTGTTATTTGTTTGCCCATCTGTAGCCTCTTCCCATTGTATGTTAGCATTAAGATCATGGACCTGTATAATGTACTGTCGTGTCTCGCTGCAGTGCGGATGCTTTCGCTGCATGCACACAGTGAACGTAGACACGAGGCACGCCAACATCCAGTTCGTCGGTGACCTAGCGTGAGTGCACATTCACAATGACATCGACATGCTCTGCGGGGTGGATGTCACGCAGGGCTTGGGTTAAAAAAAAAGATGCAGGCGTGACATTGTCTCATGTAAAAATAAAAATAAATAAATAAACTTTCGGTTCACCTCTCGCAAGCTGCCAAGTAGCATACGTTCTCTGAGCATCTTCGGGAGCTTTTCAAGTCCCAGCCACAGACTGATTAAAAGGTCTGTCTGCAGCTCTCTCCTGTGTTGGTGCATCGCAGTGACTCAAAGGGAGGTTGCTGCCACCGTTTGCGCCGTCTGAGGCGAGACGATGAAGTTCAAATCTTGTGCGGTGCGCAGTCAACACTTCAAAATCACAAACACGGATAAACATCCCAAACATGCCCTTGCAACCTCATTGCAAATTTGGAGTCACATTTCCTCCAAGAAGCACAGTTTGCAATGCTTTACCATCGCACCAGTTTTAGACCCACCCAAAAAAAAAAATCTGAAAAAGTGGATGCAGAGGTTATTTATATGATACCTGTCATCTAGTGGAAGAACATTTAATCTTTCTGTCTGTCACTATTCCACTGGCATCGATCGATAAACAAACATACATTAAAAGGGAAATCAAGTCAAACATTTCCTTCACAATAATACGTTCAATGGAGTCTCACTCGTCTAAACGCGGCATTCTGATTAATATTTTTTTGGTGGAATATGAATTAAGCAGTAAAATCTACCTGGTTTTATTCACCTGTTTTCCGAGGTTGGTCATGTGACGTTGGCAAGCTGAGGCGTGATTGGTTGTTACCTGAGCCCTGAGCAACTGTGATGTCATTTTCGGTTGACAGCAAGTGGCAAAATAGTCACCCCTTGAGATGGATACAAACCGGAGCATTTTACTGCTGAATTCATATTCCACAAATGCAATATGAATCCGAATGCCGTGTTTAGATGAGCGGAGGTGTGAAAAAATGTTTGACTTCTGCTTTAAGCAAGAAATTATCCAGTAACTTTTCTTACATATCCCCGATTAGCATTTATGATTCTAAACTGTCCCCTGGCAAACTGAGCACAGTCGAACAAATGTGTGTGCCGCAGTCTCTGGCCTGAGCTGGGTTTCGTATGACGGCACGAGCACAACACAGCCAATTTTGCCAAGGATCTCAATATAATTCCAGAGACCCCTCACCCCAAAAATGAACAGAAAATGGTTCACTTGGCACATACCTGTACGTCTCCTCTGTTTGTGTTACACCGTGTGCGGTGGCATATACCGAACCACCTGGCAGATTTAACCGGAGGCTTTCCAAGAGTTGTGTTCTCATCACCCCCTCTGCCTGGGACTCTGAGACTCGACTCGGAGTGCCAACAAGTCTGTTTCTTTTTCAATGCAAGCAAGGAAGCAAACACCCCGGAAGCCGCGGAGAGCACGGAGAAGTAAGGCACACACTCAAAGCAGGTAGTGCAAGTAGACTAAAGCACGGCTCTAAGGCAGGCTTTACAAAACATCGGGCGGGGCCATTTTGGGATAGCTTTTATTTTGTGTGTGTGTGTGTGTGTGTGTGTGTGTGTGTGTGTGTGTGTGTGTGTGTGTGTGTGTGTGTGTGTGTGTGTGCATGTGATTGACAGGATTCAATACTGTTAACCACTCATTTATACAATCCCGAGATGACTATATTGTGGACATGCATTTTTTTTCTCAAGGTACTACTGCACTTCCATGATATGTACGATACTGAAGCGGAAAGAGTCGATAAAGGCTACAATGGCGGCCAAGGGCGTTGAAATGATTTCTGAGCTGTCGACCCGTGGCCATGAAAAGATGCAAAAGCTGTTGAATGCCAGGAAAGCAAAAATAAATAAATAAATGCAAATAAATGAAACATTAAAATCGTGTTGATTAATTGAGGAAAAGTGAAGTGATTGTTGTTTTTTTTAATCATGTATGAATTGAGGAAAAACAATTCAGTTCTTCACATTCTCGACAGAAAATGTCATAATACTCCCAAGCATGGAGAAAAAGAACTACTATTACTGCAGCTTACCGTGTCACTTAGTTGTGAAATGTAATTTATTCTTTATGTCAATATTATATTGGTGGCTGTGTCACGCACAATAGAAAGAGCACAATGTCAATCGGCATTGAAGCATGAAATCGGGGATGCGCAAACTGTTTATTTTTTTTTCATTGTACTTAATTGTGTTATTCATGTGTTTTATACATTATCATACTGTCCAATGCTATTTTTCATATTTAAAAAACATGTTCGAAAATTTCAGAGGGGTGTCTTTTTTAGGTCGCCTGAGTGCATTTCTATTCATCTCAATCAGGAAACTGGATTTGGGGATATGCATGATTGAAGTTCCCGTTGAATATGACAATTTGGCGACAAATAATGCAGTTTGTCAGTTTGTACTTTTCAAGTTTGGGCACTGAGCTGAAAAAAGTTTGGTAATCTCTGCTGTGCATGATAAACGGATGCAAACAGACACGCAAGCTGACAGGCAGCAAAAATGATCCGACAGCTGAGATAAGCATTGCAACTCTCTGTCTTAACTCTTGCTTTATCAAGAGTAAAACAGTGTGCCACAGAAGCGCAAAAAAAAAACCTCCTTCTTGAGTTGCTGACAAAATGAGCGGATTAAAATTGTACATTAAAAAAAAAAAATCAAATCAAAGATTAAAAAGAAGGATGTGACCATGCCGCTTCTCTCTTTGAAGCTCTAAGCCGTCTAAAACTCGCGGAAAAACCCCGTCTGAGTGGCGGAAAAGCCGTGATGGGTTTTTATTATTGGAGCGAAATGGACCAAGAGACAGAAATGTCGAGATTAACTGCGGTTGTTTCCTTGACGCTAATTGTTAAGCCAACGACGGCAACCAGGCGATTACGACTGACGGGCTCTGTCGATGCCGTGACTGATGTTGGTTTGCGCGTGCAGCCAAGGCGGCTAATTCCTTGTTCCGAGATGAACACGACTACGAAACAATGAACTGACTTGTTTGGGTGAATAAATGAAGGACGGAGTTATACAATCACCATCATTATGATTATTATTATTATTATTTTAACCCAGAAATCATTATTGCTTGGTCAATTGAGTGTGCTTCTGCCTTGGATGCAAATACATGAATGTGAGACTCCACAAACCTGTTTCTGTCATGTTCTCTGTGTGTTTGTTTTGTTTCACCCCAACTGGAGTGAAGGGCGTTTCCCTCCAGCAGGCACACCCGTTCCTTATTCTAATGAAGCCTGTTCAAGTATTTAAGGACTGCCATGCTCCCAAATCCTCATCGGATTATTGTCCTTGCTCGCTCTACTGCTTCAAGTGTTTTTTGCTAGACCTTCTTGTTCATGTTTAGAATTTGGTTTTGTAAGTATTTTTGTGATAGTGATTTTTGCCGATTTTGGTTACTCCTGTATGGACTCTTGCTATTTCGTTTTGTGTATTTTCCGGTTTTGTTGTTTTGCAAGCGCTTTCTGTTCATGATTCGTTTTACTGTCTTTTTGGTGGCAGCCATTTTTGTTTGTACTTGTCGGTCGTTCCTTTATCCTGAAATAAATATTTTTGGTTCTGGATTTTATTTGTGTCTACATTGGTGGGATCCCATCACCATTCAGTTTGTCCACGAAATGTGTCAGTTTTGCTTTTTATTTAGCTTGTTGCTTTTTTTTTATAACACAGAAAGTTATTGATATTACAGAAGTACATTCATGCTTTGCATTCAAAAATGAAACGACAACCTGTAGTATTAGTACCGGTACTTCTGCGCAGTTCAGCCAAAAAGATGTTACATGTGACTGCTTCAAGCTGTTTTAAGTCATTGCTGTAAAAAATATGGAGGATCTGCAGGTGGAAAGAGCCAGACAAGAGTGTACTTTCGTCAGCCACCATAGCCGCAGTCTCTGCCGTCTTCAGTCTAATCCACAATATGTTCCAACTCCAAGTGGCAGTTGAAGCGCCAAAATGTTCATCAAATCCATTTGTGTTCCCCAACAAACTTCACAATCATGATTCCGTTGTGTTTTTTTAATGCAATGATTCAAATTAAACAAAAAAAATGCATTTTTTTCAATGCAATTAAGTTGACTGATTGAAATATAAACGAATGTATGTCGCATGCTAACTTTAAAATGATGTTTCCATTTTAAAGCGTTGACTTAATTCCTGATGGGTCAATTTGCTTATCTTGGATATTGCACACCTGTTCACTGTGTTATTTGATATTGTTTTACATTTGTTGTACTGTTGAGTAAAAAAAAAAAAAAAAAAAAAGTACTACTAATTCTCAGCTTCCGATATAAGATACGATGTGTGAAAAAAAAAAAAACAATTTTGTGTGGTTCAACAAAGTCGGAGTTGGGTGAAGTCGGATTTGGACTCACCGTGGCTGACAGCATGAAGAAGCAGCAGGAGGGCCAGCAAGTTCTGCAGTCCACACGGAGGCATCACGTCGCACGTCCTGCCAGGCCTGACGGCAGGAAAAGAAAAAAATGCATGAGATCGACAGTCTTTGAACGTGTTGGCCCAAATGTCTCCGGAGTGACAGCTGTCGCTTCATTTGTCATGGTGATTTACGGTCTCCTTGTTCAAGCGTACTTCGAAGCCCTTTTCAAGGCTCCGTTGGTTATTATGAGTCTTGAAAAGGAGGGGCAGCGAGAACAGACTCAGCTGGCTGCAACTGTCATGTTTCATCTCTCTCAAGTGTCACTGGAACTATAGGCCATTATCTTTATACTTCAGAGGACAAGTAGCTCCCATTTGGATAGTGACAGCTCATTCTTAACGACTTTTAAAGCCTCGTTTTGCTTTTGTCATTCCCCATGTATTCCTAATCAGTACCATTGGGTGGATGGAACCGACTCAAACATACAGTATCTCCCTTATAATAATTATTATTATTTTAAACATGTAAGAAATATTTCATGCCTCAAGGCACATACAAACGTTTTTAGCGTGGACATCAAACAACTGGCGGATTTTCGCTCTTCACAGCAGGGGATCAGCTCCTCTGCCTCGGAAATTAAGTTCAGTGTGTTATGAAATCTTGCAAAGGAAATGATGAATTTGAACGTTTGCCTTGTGGTTTTGTTGCCCGGTGTTGACATACGCGAGAAACACTCCGCAGGAATGCATATTTGGTGAGCAATGAGCCAACATGGGAAGGTTTGACGACTCAAATTTCTTTGGTGTCCAGATCATTGCGTCAAAGCCAACAAGATAAAACCCGCGGCATTTCTGAACAAAAACATGATTTACACAGCCGCAAGGCGGGTATCAACAAGAGTAACAAGCAGATAAGGGCCCGGGAGGCAAATCCAACATGATGTGTGGGTGTGAATGTGTGTAAGAGTGTGCGCAGAGCAGCGAGCGCATATAGTGTCACATTATACAGTAACACTACATGGCCACATACAGTAGCTATTTATCTGTCAGGCTGGCAGGAGCAGGCGGCGGTGAAGGCGCGGAGAAGTTAAGTAACTGTCAAATTGTGTTCAGGTCTGATGCACATGCACACACGCACGCGGTGACTCGGTGCATTGAAATACTTAAAAGGGCATGAAGGGTTTTATATGGAGCATAAAAATATGCTCAACGCCCCCAAACAACGTGGAAGTTTGTATGCAAGACAAGCTCAGTGTGCGTCTGAGGATGCGTTTTTCTTTTCTTTGTCTTTTTTTGGGTGATGGCACCAGAGGAGACGTGGCAGAAGTGGAATGGAATTTATCGTAATACAAGAAATGTGTGTGGATGCTAATTAAGCTGTCATTAAGGCCAGTGATTCACAACCACTTAGGTGAAATTGGATCATTTCCCATGGCGGAAAATTATCCGCCTTCAACTAATTGCTGCAATTGTTTCCTACAAACAACATCTATATTTGTTCATCTATCCGTGATGTATAGTGACAGGCAGAAATGTGAGGCCACTAGATGGGAAATGGTACAACTCATCACAAATCATCTTTCCCCATTGAAATGAGTGGAAATGTCATTAATCCGTTACAGCCTCCAAAACAAAACAACAAACATTGTTGTAGTGTGTTTTTGCATCAGAAAAATATCACTTTATAACATTGGACTTACATACAGTAATGACAATGTATGGAATTTATGAAATAGAATGTAAAGAAATGAACCAGGTTTTACCACATTTTTGCATCACTTCTGTGGACATTGTGCTGCAGTTTATGAGACTTGGGACACAAGGGGGCAGTATAATACAGAAATGTTGATGTATTGTACATGAAGACTGTCTCAACTGCTGAATAGGGAATGTAGTTGTATTTTATTGTCATTTTATTATTAGGGGCCAAGCGCAAAACTGGAATTCCTTCGTTTCTCATGATTATTTTTTTTACGACATTTAACAGTAGTTCGACAACAAAATTTAACATACTCCAAAACTTATCAAATTCCACCAGCAGGCATATTCTAGAAAATTACTTCGTTTATGGTTCACGGACAAAACCCTTCCAAAAGTCAATCAATATCTCCCATGATTGTCATACAATATTTAATTTGTTTATTTGCCACGGTCCATGTTCAGTCAAAAACAAAAAAATAACTCAAGAGTAAAGACGCTTTCTACCAAATTATAGCGTTGTAGCTAACTTCTATATCAAATTAAGAAAAAAAAATATGAAAGGGTAGAAGAGTTGCATTAAAACTCATTAGGAGTGGCAAACTGTTTACACATTTACAATATAGATGAAATTCACCCTTTCATGCACCAATAATGACAACCTGCAATCTGATAACATGATCCATTAACCCAAAATCTAGTTTGTGTTATTATCAGGGGCTTAATATTCTTTTACACTAGAATGAAAGAGAAGGTCAATTAACAAGATTTCTTTGCATCAACGGTTCAGTTGATAAAGATTTTAGAGACAGTTTGATTGATTCATTCCCAAATTGGAACAACTCGCTTCACCGCGGTATCGACATACAGTTCTTCATCAATAAATTCTCCCACGAGAAGCCTATGTCTCCCCTTAATCTTACTTTTGGATCAATCTGGTATGAAAGAATCCCATGTTCTTACTCATGAATCAACAAATAATCTCCTTGACACTGTGAAAAACGGTGTCGAAAATCAACCGAAAAGAATGGCGAGCCAACTCCATCTCCCCCTTCCTTTTTCATAACGATATCATCCATAGAATCAAATCATATCAAGGCACACATGGAATAGATATAAAGGGGCTCCAGCAATCTGGGTATCTATTGTGTATATGAGATGATATATGTGTCCCCAAAGCCACAGGACAGCGACCAAATGAGGTGAATGAAGTCAGGCCTGGACGGCCGAGGGGTCTCTGAGCGTAAATAATGAATGTGGGCTCTCCGGGGAGATGCGTTGGGCCCGAGGGCGGGAGGAGAGAGAATGAGGGCGGATTTGGCGCGACTGGACACTGATAGCCCGTGTCAGTTACAGCTGTGTAGGTCCGCTTACAGGCGCATGTAAGGACGCAAACGCTGACTTCATCACGACTATCTGCGCAGGCCCCAGTGGAGCCATTGTCTATCCATAAGTATGTTCTATGCACCCCCATTTGTCGAAACACCTCATTCTGATTAATATTCCATTGGTGGAATATTGAGTTGAGCAGTAAAATCCACCCATTTTTGTCCATCTCAGGGGTCGGCCATTTTGCCACATGCTGTTGACTGAAAATGACATCACAGTTGCTCCAGGGCTCAAGTAACGGATCAATCATGGATGAGCTTCAGAAAACAGGTGAGCCGTGATTGGTTGTTTCCTGAGCTCCATTCATTTATCCATCCATTTTCTGATCGCTTGATCCTCACAAGGGTCGCTGGGGTGCTGGAGCATATCCAAGCAGTCTTTGGGCAGTAGGCGGGGGACACCCTGAACCGGTTGCCAGCCAATCGCAGGGAACACAGAGACTAACAACCATCCGCACTCACACTCGCACCTCGGGACAATTTGGAGTGTTCAATCAGCCTGCCAAGCATATTTTTTGGAACGTGGGAGGAAACCGGAGTACACGGAGATAATATACCACGTAGGCCCAGGGAGAACATGCAAACTCCACACAGGAATACCGAAGCTGGAATCGAACCCGGTACCTCTGCACTGTGAGGTCGACGCGCTAACCACTCGATCACCGGGCCGCCTGCTATGAGCAACTGTGATGTCATTTTCAGTCGACAGCAAGTGGCAAAGTGGCAAAAAAAGCCCTCCCCCCCGAGATGGCTAATAAGTGGCGGATTTTGGTGCTTCACTCATATTCCACACACATAACATGAATTCGAATGCCGTGTTTATTGTAAAGTGAACATCTACAGGCTCTGAGGTGGCCTGGGAGGGAGTGCGGCATTCAGATTAAAACAAATTTAATTGGCATCAACCCCACCGCGGTGTTTGGAGGATGAAAAATGAGAGAATGACCCAAAGAAAATCATCCCCCCAGAGTCAAGCTTCTAAGACATCCCATCGAGGAGACAAGGATCAACATATCAACAGATCAGCGAGGAGCGACAAATGCTTGGAGAAATGAGACAGGCGTGTCCAAGTGATATTCAAGCTGTTTGTTTTACGGTTAAATGACTACAAATTGCCCCTTAAATCCTTGAAAACTAAAATACAAACATTATAAAAAAACAATCAGGGAGCAGGATAAGCTGCTCTGCTGATTATTAGGAAAGCTAATTATGTCATTTTCCTGAAAGTTTTCTTTGTAGTGAAATAAGCAGAGCAATTTTACTGCTGGTGCTTTGGACTGTTGTTTCCACTATGCTTGATCATTGAGTTTGCACAGTGATGACATGTTTTGCCTCCTCGCCACAAACCCTCAACTCTCTGAAAACAAATGAGCTGCAACAAATGAACCTGCACTCCACTGCCACTTAATGATTACTTAAAGCCCCAGAGGATAATCAAAACTATTGTGCCTTTCATATAGGACTCGTGCACTTAAAAACAAACAAACCAAAAAAAAAACAACCCTCTTATCTGTGTGGGTTCCTGATAATAGCAATCTGTTTTATTTTTCTCTTCCTGTATTACTCTTATGCCACTTTAGCCAAAGCCTCTGTTTAAAAAAAACATTTTATTTGTACCTCACAAGTGAAAATACTGCAATTACAACCCAGTCAGAGGCCAAGTGGAGCAGCCTGCGCAAAACCCACATGCAAAATGATGCATATAGTGCATTAAGTATGAGACCTGCCACAGTTTGGCTTCAGCCACCGGTGCTTCGACTCAACCGGCAGGTTAACGAGCTCGTATATAAATCTAAAAACAAATACACAGTAGACTGTGAGAAGTGTCCTCGGTCACCCAAGCACTTAAATCTGGTGTTAAATGATTACTTGTCACCTAATTAATTACCCAGTGCCAGTCGCCGATCTCTTTAAGTTCCCGATGGTCAGACCGAATGTTCACCGAACAAATGTTGCATAAATAAGTGATTAAATATGACAAAAAGAGAACCAAAGAGGT